CCTCCTCCTCCTCCTCCTCCTCCTCCTCCTCCTCCTCCTCCTCCTCCCTGAACCTTCAGTGGAGCCGTTTGGAGAGAGGGGCGACCTCCCTCAACCTCCGCCCCTCCATCCTGGCAGCGATGGTGAGTGATGGAGAGGTAAGCCCCCTGCCCTCCCCCAGAATGTGGCCACGATCCTGCTCTGTCTACAAAGGCAGAGATCCGTGGTTGTCCTCACAGCCCAATCCCAGTTAAAACCTCCCGGGGGCTTTTGGCAGGCGATGGGTGAACCGCAAGAGGCTTGGCTGGGGCAGCTGGCATTGAGCCTCAGAGCCCCACCGTGGGTGGAAAGACGCCGCCTCGGGGCAGCTGCTCAGCTCTGGACCTTGTCCAGGGGAGCCCACCCCAGACCCCCGCCGTGATGTCTTCGGAGGAGAGTCCTGGTCCACCCAGAGGCTGCCACCCCGCTGGCCAGGATGCCAGGCCGGGAGCCCAGCCCAGCCCAGGATGCTATGCCAACCAGACTTTGGCCTGGATGATGACCACAGGCAAAGGTCAGTGGCAAAAGAGGAGCAGGCGTGAACGGCTTCGTCTCGCCGGATTGAAATCCTGCATTGGGTTGAATCATAGAATTAACAGAGTTGGGAGGGACCTTGGAGGTCATCTAGTCCATCCAGTCTATTCCAAATATCTGCCTCTACCTAGGATCAAACTCGCAGCCTCCTGATTGTGAGGCGAGAGCTGCACCTCTAGGCCGCCGGAGCTGAGGGCCCCAACTGGGTGGGCTCCTAAAGGATCTGATTTCTACCCCACCCCCCAAGCTTCCAAACTCCTGTAACTAACTCAGAGGACCAGGAAGGTGGCAGCTGCTGAGATTTGACCCACCCAGGTTAAGCAGGCTGTGCGAACACCACGCAAAATGCTCCCCCAGCAGAAGGGAGTAGCGGTTATTCCTAAACGTGGTTTGTTTGAGCCTGGCAGGATTTAATGGTTGAGTGAAAGAGTTGGCAGAGCAGCAGCTTCCTTAGAGGGAAGGCCAACTGTGGTTGGCAGAAACTGGCTCCGATCCTTCGGTCGGTCTTCCGGATGCAGCGAGGGTCACCGTAAGCATCCACGGGAGTGGTTGGGCTCAAAAATTAAAAGGGTGGCTGCAATCATGCAAATGCAGCTCTACATCTTTCTTTTTCTTTTATTTATTGTTTTGAATAGAATAGAATAGCATAGCATAGCATAGCATAGCATAGCATAGCATAGCATAGCATAGCATAGAATAGAATAGAATAGAATAATAATGGAATGGAATGGAATGGAATGGAATGGAATGGAATAGAATGGAATAGAATAAGGAATGGAATGGAATGGAATGGAATAGAATAAGAGTAGAGTCCTGCCTTCTGATGGATGATTGAGAATCTCTGCAGACTTTTAACTGAAAGAAATGGGGATGAGAAGTAGGTGTAGATTGTCCAAACAGCAATAGATCTGCAATAGCAGCAGAGGCACACAAATTGCACAAACGGAACCCACAAGGAGGGCCTAGAATTAACGTTAAACCGGAAAAATCCAGAGTCCCAAGGCTTAAAGTCTCCGAACTTCCAACCTTCCAAAGAAACACAAATGACTCTGACCAGATAACCCAGTTCCAAAGTCTTGCTTTGGCAATCAGGAATATACAGATTAAAACTTCCTCTTGGGCACAGAGAGCGGACTTTAGAGCCAAAGGCCACCCCTCACCTTTCCCCAGAGCTTCTCCAAGAAAGGGATTTTTGAAGGATGGGGCAGAGGAACAAATTAGCTACACCAGCGTAAAAAGCCACTGTAAAACAGTTCCGGGGCAGTTCTCCTGTCTTTTCCAAGCCTTTGGAGGGGTTGCTTTTGATGGGCTGAGCTGGGAAGGGAAAACATGACAGGGCTTAAAATAATAAAGCAAATGCAAGATCGGCTACCAAACAGGTGGAAAGTTTTGCGGGAAGCCAACTGCCATTCCTGGTTAGCTCCTTCCAGCAAGTACCACTTACCCTCCTTTCTTAGGAACCAACAGTGGCTCTTAACATAAACGTTTATCCTCCGTTTGAAAAGGCGTCAGAGAGAAGAATGTCAGAAATCAGGGACAAAATGAATCTGATATAGGGCAGAACCATTCCCCGTAGTCATAATTAGCCTGGAAGGGACCTTGGAGGTCTTCTAGTCCAACCCTTTGCCCCAAGCAGGGGTCCTTATATCATCTCAGTCTTCCTAGAATCAGAATCATTAAGCTGGAAGGGACCTTGGAGGTCTTCTAGTCCAACCCACTCCTAGGATGGATCAGAACTTTTCAATCTCCAGCTTTTAAAAAAAGAGAAAGAGAAAAGATGAAGGATTTCTTTTTTTTGGGGGGGGGGGGGGGGGGGGGGGGGGATTGCCAGAGTGGGCTAAGGAAACATATTTAAGTTTTCTCTCCCTAGATCTGTTTCTAGGAGAAAATTCATGGAGGCGTCATTATTAACTACAGTGGTGGTAATCTCCGTCTCCCGTAATGAACCCTCTACTTAAAGGAGAGAGAGAGAGAGAGAGCGGATGATTGAAGGAGAGGAAGGGGGCAGAGGGAGAAAGCTGTAAGGGATGAGTTTCAAATTCCTTAGTAATTGATAAGCTCCTGTCCCCATGAATCTGTAATGCACAGCTTGTAACTTTCATGTATTTAATGAGCAACAAGATGTTGTTTTTTTCTTCTTTACATTAGACAGCGAACATTCTGGAGCTGTCGTGAGCAAACAGTACTCTAAAGCTAATTTAAAGCAACCAGTTAATGCTTGTATTTGATTGAGGGTTGGGGGAGAAGCGGGGATCACAATACAGAATCAGAATGGAGAATGGAAGGGACCCTGGAGGTCTTCTAGTCCAGCCCCCCACTCAAGCAGGAGACCCTATGCCATTCCAGACAAGTGGCTGTCCAGTCTCTTCTTGAAAACCTCCAGTGATGAAGTACCTACAACTTCTGTTCCTCTGGTCAATTGTTCCCACTGTCAGGAATTTCCTCCTTAATTCCAGGTTGCTTTCTCTCTTGATCAGTTTCCCTCTGTTGCTTCTTGTCCTGCCTTCAGGGGCTTTGGAG